AAAATTTTTTTCAAACTTTTGTTGAATTTGACCCGGCCGGGTTATGAGAACCAATAGTATAAGTTTGTGTGGCCTAAGTAATAGAAAATTTTAAAATACTAATATAATACTAATATAACAATGTTTTGTATTTTATATTTCAAAAACATATTAATAAAAAATTATTCAATTTGTATAAAAATTTCAAAATATATGTATTTTTACCTCCTGAACAACTTTTATTAATTGACAAACATTTAATTTACTTAGTAAAATTTTGACTTTTATATATAAAAACTACTTTAGATTAATAAAAAAATTAATAAAAATCAATTTTACTCAAAAATAAGCTACCCTGAAAATTTTCATGTAGTTTTTTGCTCAAAAATAGTAGCTTATTTTCGGGAATTTTTCAGATAGTATATATAGTTTGAGCCAAAGCTACAAGTTTCTCTGGAATTGACCCGATACTGAATAACAATCCGGAGTACAACATATACACAGACAGGTAAAAATCCTTATCAAATATGCGCTTTTTTGAAATTAAACATTTATTTATTTATTATTTTTTGTGAATAATTTAAGTCAACGCTTATCGTTGTTATCTCCATACTGGTACACCAGAAACAACATCTGTTGGTTTAACTATTTCTCCAATAAGAGCTCGAGACAGTAATTCATGTTCCTCTTGAATATGTTGTGCTTTATTTCCCGTAGCAGGGGATGACGACGGTGGACGACTAACAAGATCAGCAGCTTTACCTAGACACAATGTTACTTTAATCAGCAAAATAGTTTTTGTGATATAAAAATAAAAACCAATAATTATAATAGTATACCTTTATGACGCTCGGAATGGTTCAAGAGTGTTCGTATTCTGGGTGCTACATAAGTCCACGCACCTGCATTTAGAGGTTCTTCTTGCGCCCACACAAGTTTGGCATTTGGATACTTGTCGACATGTTGTGATAGCAAGTCATATGGGAACGGACTCAATTGTTCAATCCGAGAGATAGCAATATGGTTCAACTTATTTTGTTCACGAGCTTTAAGTAGGGCATAATAAACTTGTCCAGAGCATAAAATATGACGTGTAATTTTTTCAGATGAACCTAGCGTTTCCGGATGTGGTTCTGGTATATATCTAGAAAAGTATGTGTCACCAACCATCTCATCAAGAGTAGACCGAGCCATGGGATGTCGAAGAAGATTTTTAGACGTGAAAACAATAAGCTGCATGAAATAACACACGTTAAAAATTAACAATTTGATGAATATTAATTCAATTTAATATATAAACACTTACCGGTTTTCTAAAGTCTCTATGAATTTGCCTTCTCAATACATGGAAGTAGTTTGCCGGTGTTGTACAATATACTACTTGCATATTACAATCTTGATGTTGACGTGCCATTTTATCGGGAGGTGGATAAATATAGGGATGATCATCACAAAGTTGAAGGAAACGCTCAATGCGTCCACTGGAATGTTCAGGGCCCTGCCCATCATAACCATGGGGCAATAAAACTACTAAGCCAGTGCGCTGAAGCCATTTCTTTTCACCAGATGAAATAAATTGATCAATTATACATTGTGCATTGTTGGCAAAGTCGCCAAATTGTGCTTCCCACAAGATAAGGGAATTAGGATTAACTAAAGAATATCCAAATTCAAAGCCTAGAGTTCCGAACTCAGATAGCGAAGAGTTACACACAACATATCGGGCTTGCCCGGGTCGAAGATCATTCAAAGGAACGTATTGTGACTCATCTTCTTGGTCATGAAGAACAGCATGACGTTGTGAAAAAGTACCACGTTCGACATCTTGACCAGATAACCGAACATGTTTTCCTTCAAGAAGCAAGGAACCAAATGCAAGGCTTTCAGCTGTGGACCAATCAATGTTTGCGCCATCCTTTATTGATTTATCTCGAGCCTTAAGCATCCTAACATGACCCGAGTGCACATTAAAATTCTTTGGATACGAACTAATAACCTCTCCAATGTGTTTAAGCGATTCAAGAGTAGATCCAGTTGGATAAATAGGAGTAGTGTCTTCTGCAAGTTCTTTAGGTGACTTAAATCCTTTGTTTTAAAGAAGTATGAGATGAAATCAATTAATATGTAAAATGGTTATTATTACTGAATCAGTAATCTTACCATCCCAAGAACTGGATAACCATTCTCGACTAGTAGGCTTGTAATCCTTGCTTTTTTTATAGTTTTCTTCTAGAGTATCCCACACCCATTTTTTATGCTTTTGAATATCTTCCATTGAAAATGTGCCTTCCTTAGAAAGTCTTTGTACATATTTTTCAAGTATGGGCGTTTGTTTAGCAATCTGTTTATACATTCTTGGTTGAGTAAAACTAGGTTGATCAACTTCATTATGACCATGTTTACGATAGCAAACAATATCAATAACAAAATCTTTTTTGAAGGTTTGTCTCCATTCAGCAGCTAGTTGGCACACAAAATTCACAGCTTCAACGTCGTCACCATTAACATGGAAAATAGGTGCATTAACTACTTTAGCAAGGTCAGAGCAATAAGGTGTTGAACGTGCAAATCGAGGGTCCGTAGTGAATCCAATTTGATTATTTATAATGATGTGGACAGTACCTCCCGTCGTATAATTTGGTAAATCATGAAAACCAATCGTTTCATATACAACACCCTGTGCTGCAAACGAAGCATCACCGTGTAATAATATAGCCATAGCACGATGACGTTCTTTTTCATCATTCATATAAAATTGAAGGGCACGAGTTTTACCGAGTACAACAGGATCGACAGCTTCTAAGTGAGATGGGTTTGCTGCTAGAGAAAGATGTACACGCTTTCCGGAAGGAGTTGGTCGGACATAATTCATTCCTAAATGATATTTGACATCACCAGATCCTTCATCTGAAGGTTCAACAAACCCTCCGAACTCGCAAAAAATGGATTCATTAGGTTTGCGAACCACATTGCTAAGTACATTGAGACGACCACGATGCGCCATACCAAGCACGATTGATTCTATACCAAGGTCAACAGACCTATCAATCTGTAAATAAATGATGTATTGCACGTTAAATAACATGATTAAATAGGTAATAATATTAAATAACCTTTGAATATTTATTTACCAAAGCTTTCATGCCGGGAATCAAGCTTTCACAACCTTCCAAGCCAAATCTTTTCTCAGTCGGATATTTAGTAGCAACAAACCTTTCAAATGAATCAGACCATATTAACCGATCTAAAATCATACGCTTTTCTTCACTTGAGTAGTTATATGGTTTTGGAATTTCTACACGTTCGCGAACCCAATCACATTGTACACGGTCAAGAATATGAGTATATTCAATTCCAATAGTGCCACCTAATAAAAAAAGAATTTCATATTTATATCAATAAATAAAATACATGAATAATTTTAAATAATTAGAAAAATTTTTCATACAATAAATCTTTTTGCAACATTCAACTATTTCACGGAGAGTCTTATTTTCACCAGTCCCAGCAAATCCAGGTAATATCCCAGGACCTAGAGAAAATTGCCTATCGAGATCTTTTTCTGAAAAACCATAATAATGTGGGTCAAGTTCTTTCGGAATTGAATTCGGTTTTATAATGTTTAATGGATCTAACGTTGCAATGTGATGTCCACGAACTTGATAGGCCCTCACTAAGAGTTGTACCTTCATGTGGTCACTTATATCATATGTGCCAGAAACATCAGTTGAAACGGACGTGGCTGGACCAGTCAACGGAACATTAAGCATCGGTCTTACACCAGTATCCATATTTTTGAAGTACACTTGCCAAGACAAATCGACGGACGAGGGATTTTTAAGCCATGCCTCATACATTTCTTCAATATAATTCGTTGTATTGCCTTGAAGAAAAGCATCGTTCGGGGAAAGTGATCCGCGAGAGTTTACTGGGGTTACTTTGTTACGAATTGGACCGGATCCAAGGGTCGGATAATAGAGTTTTGGTAAAATATTGGTACGAAAAGACAAAGCATTATTACGTAAAATAGCATGACCCGGTCGAAACGTACGAGACCGTGATATGGCTGAAAACATATTTAATTGATTTCATTCTCAAGAATTCTCGAGAGAAAGAAAAAACGAGTGGAGATTTCATGAACGGACTTTCCTCTGATTGGCTGACGCAAATCAATTGCCCGGGTAACTTATTTATACACTTTAAAGTAGCGTGGAGAACATTCAAATTGATTGGTCTAGGGTTCTGAGTTAACAACAAAATATTCAAACTTCTCTCTCTAAGTGAAAATCCTATACTGTAGATTATTCTAAACACATTGGTTAATATATACAGTAATAAAGATTATTATGCCTATAGATGGAGGTGAAATTACTCTTAATAAAAAGTTTTTGTTGAATGGTGAAATTGGTGAAATTAGTTTTTCAATGCTAAAAATTTAATTTACTGTAAATCATATTAAAGTTATTTGATATGGTGTCGAAAAGCATAGGTGCGCTTGGTCTCGTGATTGGAATAATTCCGGACAGCCAAAGGTGCCGGAAATGAATTTAATTAAAGGACTTTAAGTCCGCAGAATACATTGAATTGATAATTTTAAGTAATTGGTAATTTTAAGTAATTAGTAATTTTAAGTAATTTGAACTGAAACGATGATATGCTCCCGGAAGATTAGCAAGTGAGATTGCGCCAGGTATCATCGTAACAGTAGAGCGAGTGAGAAGCAGCATCAGCCGGTGGTTTCCCGCCTGCTCGAAGCAGGCCGGCTGTTAAATAGGAAAATGGCAGAATCAGGAGACTGTTCCCTACATTGCGGTGGGAAGGGCTGGGTCGAGAAAATGCAAGTTAAATGAATTGAGAGAGAGCGTGTGAAATCGCTTCTCTTCGACGACCTTTATATATCAGTCGTTTGTTGGCTTTCGATTTTGCATGAATTTATGATTCTACTTTGATGTCATTTATCGATCGATACTTCATGCGTGTAACCGGGCACGTATCGTATGTCCCTTGAAGCGCTGATTTGCATGAATTTATGATCTGTCATTTACCGATCGATCCTCGGATCGGATAACCGGGCCGGGTTGGGCACGTGTTACATGTCCCTTGACCATGCTCCCTGTCTTTTCGATCTGTTGACCCTTGTCAACATGCATTTACACCACAGGTCCCTATTTCTCGGGTACTCTAAGTAAAAATGTTCAGGACCCCAAAAACCTCACGAAAATTGAGATCGGGACCTTATATTAGCTCTATATTATATTCTATAAAAAAAAAATAATTCTTAAAAACAATTATACAGTATATGGTGCTAAAACACCATAGGTGCGTTTTATAATAATTGTATAGAAATATTAAAAATGTTGAAATTACTGTAAATGAATTTCACCCCATCTATAATTATGCCTACTGACTAAATAAAGAGATGCAATAAATAAAAAATACTGTACAGCAGTGTTGTCACTGGAAGGCCACTGGAAGTAAATCAATAGTGCCACTGGAACTTAAAGTTCCAGTGGCACTATTGATTTAACTTCCAGTGGCCTTCCAGTGACAACATTACTGTACAGTATACTGTATATCTACTGTACAAATATATATCTACTGCACTACTGTATATATACTGTATAAATAGTTTAATGAATAATCTGTAAATATTGATTTTTGACTGAGATATTCCCAGGTTAGGATGCGCATTTCTATGTTTAATGAGGTGCTTAATAATCTTCATTCACGACAATTCTTGCTCACGTGAAATTTGATATTTGAGACTTCAAGTTTTATATTAGTTATTTCGGTTTAAATCTAAAAACATGTATTTTTATTTATATAATATGCATGTTGATTCGCGGGTCCATTTTCTTTGATGCAATAAAGAGCTTATACAAATGATTATTGTTTTTAAACAAATAGGTTCTATTTTATTCGCTATGGTCTACAGCATCGTTTTATGAATAAATTCATTTATTATATTTTATATAGTGTTATTGTAGATGTATAAAATAGTTGTTGAAACTAAATCTTTTAATCTACTTCTAATATCAAACAAATATAGAGTCGTCGTGTATTATTATATATATATATCTAATAAAGTAAAACCTCCATAAGTGCACTCTCTATAAGCGCACACCCTCCTTATATGCACACTATTGCTTGGTCCCAAGCTTGGGACTTAGTGCTGAATGCACTCTCTATAAATGCACATATGTAGTACTGTATATAACTATCTCTAGCTTGGTCTCAACCTATAAGGAACTCTATAATTTTCTCTCTACAGTCGATCCTCTCGAAACCGATCCTGTCAAAACCGATAACCTGTCTACCAAGTCCGTTCCCCCGCCATGCATACCGATTTTGAGAAGGTCGACTGTATAGATTTATATAAAGGAACAGACTTGGTAGATTATGGCGGTTTGCAAAAAGGTGTGACCTTTGCAGATAATGATATCATGTAAAATCCCGAGAAATCGGCCGATTCTAATAGATTTAGAGAATTTTAAAGATTTTGAATAAAATATAGACATTATTGATCGAAAATTATGATCAATAAGGAATTAAAATCTCGGAAATTTTCCGCTATCATTATCACGAAATCACAGGGTCACACCTTTTTGCAAACTGCTATAACGTTAGTTTTTTATCAGATTTGACAGGTCATCGGTTTTGACAGGATCGGTTTTGAGAGTTTATCGGATTTGAAAGCATAACGATAACGATAACGATAACAAACTATTAGATTTATATAACGGGAACGGACTCGGTAGATCAGATTTATATATAACGATAATTTTGATTATCTATCGCTGATATTATGTAACCAATCAAACAGGAGGAAACGTTGATGTTACACAACTGATTTTACACACGATGTGAAACACATAAAAAAATTATTTTACAATACTTGATCCAGTCAGCTAGTACATGCTACAATTATAATCCAACACCAATAACATGTACTAAAGTATTGTAAAATAATTTTTTTTATGTGTTTCACACCGTGTGTAAAATCAGGTGTGTAATATCAACGTTTCCTCCTGTTAACCAATCATGGAGTGATATTCGATTTATGGATCAACCAATCACAAGAAAGCTATTCTATATAATTATATTTAATTTAACTTTTTTTCCGAACTTAGGTTACGCTCTATCGCTAATTCTCTCTGCTATAACTTAATATGCTTAATATGTATCAAGATTTATTAATCTTTAGCACATTCATCAAATTATTACTTTACCCTGCATAGTAAATACATTTTCTTTTTTGTCAAGTTTCTTATTGAATGGAGGCATGCATAAAATAAAATAATTTTATTTAAGTCGTTCGACAGATTTCGAAGTTCATCGTAATTGGCTCGCTATTACTCATAGTCTTCCGGTATCTGAATGGTATTACGAGGTGATTTTACTTATTTTTAACAGTTCACGCTTATTTAAAAGCAATAATTTATTTTTATTTTTTATTTTTTTTTCACAATTTCGATTTTAAGAACAGAAGTGAGTGGACACTGGACTATCCACCATTTTTCGCCTGGTTCGAATGGTTCTTATCACAATTCGCGTCATTATGGGATAAAAACATGCTTAATGTGGATAATCTTGATCACGCAAGTGATGAGACCATTTACTTTCAACGTACTACTGTTATTATTACCGAATTAGTTCTATTCTATGCATTGAAAAAGTAGCGAATTATTATTATTATTGATTCATCATTTTTTGAAATTAAGAAATTTTATGATTTAACAAGTTTAATATTACATAATTTTTGTTAGATTCTTGATGCACTCAGAAAATAAAAATATTGCATATATTCTTGCCGCATCAATATTTTTGAATCCTGGCCTTCTGATGGTTGATCATATCCTTTTGATTTTCACAAGATTTTCTTAATGTTTGCTTATTATTCAATTATGATGAAATTATATTTTAATTGATCTAATTGATTTTAGTATGAGTGATTCATTTTTGATTATGAATTATATCCCTTGACATCTACAAACACGTTCATTTTCAATATAATGGATTTCTTTATGGTATCTTCTTACTTTCGTTAACATATGCCAAAGAGGTAGCTTTATAAAAATTATATTCATCAATTAGAATTTTATAAAATCCTTATAAAATTGATTTCATTCAACTTATGTAAGGGCAAAGATCTTTTTTGTGGAATCGTATTTGCTATTTTATTGAATTTCAAACACATATTTCTATATCTTGCCCCTGCCTATTTCGTCTACTTGTTAAGGCACTATTGTTTTAAAGATCCTGGAAGTCAAGGTCAGGAAAGGCTAAGCTATAACGCTATGTTTAAATATGATTTACTATTTGTCTCAACTGCTACCTAAACTAATCCTTTTTTATAGATTTTGGAAATTTTTCGTATTCAAATTTTATAATCCTTGGGCTTTCAGTCATGTCGATCTTTTCATTGTCTTTTGGGCCATTCCTTTATATGGGCCAATTGGGACAAGTGTTTTCTCGTTTATTTCCCTTCAAAAGAGGTCTTTGTCATGCATTCTGGGCTCCAAATTTTTGGGCATTATATTCTTTTATGGATCGTGTTCTAATTATTGGTAATATATTTACTCTTTAAATTTACTAATGGCATATGAATTGTTATGGGGTTGACTAATAATTTATTAAATAATAGTTTTTAGGCAGTTAGGATGGGGATTAAATGATATATCAACTTCATCTGTTACAAGAGGATTAGTTGGTGATGTTAGCTTTGCCGTATTGCCACAAATTCCAGCAAAAACAACTTTCGTCATTACTATGGTCTTTCAAATTGTAAATTTTACATTTTTTCCATGCATATTTATGCTAAAAAATATGATTGAATGATTTTTAATAATTTAAGGCGTCACTCGCCAAATTATGGCGATATCCGAATTTCAAAAATTTTATTGGATCCACGATTTTATGTGGTTATTCTTCCTTTCTTTTCGGATGGCATGTTCACGAAAAAGCTGTATTACTGATAATGATTCCCTTCGGGTATCAATTCTAGTTCTATTAATCTTATTAGTCATTTTCTAATAGGTTTAAATACCGTCAGTTTTACATTGTCGTCTTTACAACTATATTTTATAGGTTGATCGCAACAGAAAGTCTAGAACATTTTCGTACTTACATCATTCTTTCAATATCTGGGCTATTTTCGTTATTCCCTCTTCTTTTTAAAGCTACAGGTTTGTATTTAAATTGCCTATTTCATTTCATAAGTCAATTATAATGCAAAAATTTAACACAAATTGTTTATTGCTTAAATAGAAACAATAATAAAACTATCCATATGTGTATTATGGATAGTATTGACTTGCTTAGGACTATCACAAACATTCTATACGTACAGTAAAATACATTTATGTCAAAAGATAGTACATTTCATTTTATTCTAATGATTATTTTTTGTATTTTAGTAAATCCGAAAGTAGAACAGCGCCGAAACCAGTGGCATCCAAATTTGTTCACCTGTTAGAAAATGTGTACATTGTTGGATTTGTTATTTTACAGTTTTTCACTGGTGTTGTACATCAAATCGCATTTAGCGATGGCAAATATCAGTTCCTACCGTTATTAGCTACGTCTGTATATTGTGCAATAGGCATAGTATATTCTTGGATTAGATTTACTGTTATATATTTTTTAGAAGGATAGAATGTTAATATATATATATGGATCAGTAATGAGATGAGCCGATTCGACCTGAAAATATTGTAAAATTAATTTTACTTATAAATGTTGAGCATAAGACTTTTGTAGCTTGATTAGTACGTTGATCTTCAGGGACATGATATTTAAATAAAACTTAAGTGCTGGTAAACTTGTATACTATAGAACAAATAAATATATTAATTATGGTATTTTGATACTGAAAATACATACCATAACAATAGAAAATTCAGGAAATGGTTATAAAACTTTGGTAAATTAAATTTGACTATAGGTGCCGTGTAGATGATCGAGCCATTAAAAATGAATTATATTAATTAAGAATTCATTATTTGGTAACCCCTCAATAGGGTTACCTACAGTATAACAGGACTACTGTATCGGGTCCATGAAACTAATTTATAAATTTTGTACGGAACCTTCATAATTAAACCTTCTCTCAAAAAAAAAATTTAATTTTCATCCGTGAAATCTAATTAATGATTACTTTAAACTGTTCAGGATGGATCTGAGGGTGCGAACATTCATCAGATCGAGTAGCTATACTCTTACAACAATGCAGCATATCTAATGTATCTTTAGTTAAAACTTGGACAAATATACTGGAAGAATAGTGTTATTTTGATAGTGAAAATTGATAAACTAAGAAAAAGAGAACTCAAAAATTAATTGTTAAATCGAACAAACAAAATCAAGATCATAAGACTAAGAATACAACCGACTTAGGGCCTTAAAAAAGGGTTCATATCACCCAACAATATTTTTGAAAATATTATAGGGAAATAGTTGCAGGAAAATAACATGAACTCCTTAAAAAAATAGATTGACCCTTACTGGAATCAACGACATTAAAGGTATAAAACCAAGAATCCAACCAACTTAAGGCCTTGAAAAAAAAAAAACCTCGGAAAGTTTTTACATGACGCCAGAATCATACAACGACTATAACGCCGAACCTTAAAAACCTTGGAAATAAGGAAACGGAATTATACCTGTTGAGGAACTTGGGAATATAATGGTACGAAACTTAAGAAGAATGTCGTACCCACAGCCGTATCTCATTTAGGTGTAAGAGATTAAGAACACCCTTGCAGCACAAGCCACGTTGAAAAAAAGGAATATATTAAATAGAAATAGATCCACTTTCTTATGAATAATTTCATCAATTTGTAAACCTTTTTTAATGCAACAAGGTAACTAACTCTTTCTTCGACCTTATGCAGGAGAAAAACTCAATTTGCAAATATTATAAATACTATATACTAGGCCTTTAGGCCACGCAAAGTTGATTTTTCGTTCTGCATTACCCGCCGTCCCATTTTTCAAAAATTTTTTTTTTAGATCCCAATTATGCAAATTGTTCAATTTTTGACATCTATTTTTTCCCGCTATTTTCATCCGATGGAGACCTTAATTGTCTGATAGGACTGACAGGAAAAATCTGACTGCCGGCCCAATTTTTTGATTCCTTGTTGTGCAAATATAACCTTAAATGTGATCATTATTCTATTTGCAGTAAATTGAATTAAAAAAAGTAAAAAATAAAAAAAATCCGTCCGTCCCTAATTTTGAAATCCATGTAATGCAAAACGAAAAATCAACTTTGCGTGGCCTTACCTTATTCTGCAGGCAAACATCGATCGGATCCAAAAAAATATGGATTGATTTATTTATTATAAACTCAATAAAATATTAATGATATACTTACAATATCCAACGGATAAACAAAAACATAGTGGGGGCTTCAAGTGTAAAGAGAAAAAAATAACAAACAATTTCAACAAAAGAGAAAACTCAAATAATAAAAGGAAAAATCAGTTCAAACGGATATTTATACGTAGATTTACGCGTAACTACAAAATCAACCAAAATTCCCGTGATATTATTTATCTAACTAGGTCATATGGGCGGATTTGTTTCCATTCGATATATCACGTAAATTCGATTTTGTCACATATGACAATCAAACATGACCATTAACCAATCATATGATCCCATTCGATTATATCACCAGAATTTGAATTAGAATAAATCGATTAACAAAAAAAAAAATATCGTTAGAATTCCAATGGCTAGTAAATGTCAACTTTGTCATGAGATCTTTCCTTCTTGAGAAAAGCTTGTAATTCATAAAAGAATTAGGCAAAAATCATACCTCATCGCAATTTACTTATTCAACCACTTCTTGAGCAAGTTATGTTTTATCAGAATGCATTTATAGTTCTTGTTAAAAAACGTCTTGGCTTTAATAGGCATTCGATTGGAGCAAAACAAATTTCTATTCCTGCTTTTCTGGAAAATATATTTGTTTTTTTTTTGAAAATGAATCTTCTTTCCGATATAGCCCTGTGCAATGAAAATATTCTTGTTATTTTCAGAGTGAGGCTGGTAAACAAAGATTGAAACAACTAGTTAACTATAATGATTGGAATGTTCGACAAGATCCAAATTTAAAAACCATAGACTATGTTTTGTTTATGGATAATGAGAGTTCATATGGAGTTAATTTTAGTTGGACACAAGCAAAATTTAAAGTGAACAATCGTATTTTTGAATGCGGCACCGTTACTTGTAAATTTACAACAGATTCAGGAAAATTTTCCTAGCAGTAAGTATTTTTTTAACAACGATTCTTTAGTATTCTAAGGAGTGTTATTTGTTAGCAAAAATTCTTTTTTTTTTTAACAATAATTTATTTTATTAGGCCCACCGTGAATGACGTTACTTCGCAAGCATCGAATCTATCACAAACTTTTAGTTCAAATAAAGATTCTTCAGATGATGGTTCAAAAAAAAATTATAGATTTATATTACCTCGGGTTTCTTTTCGGCAACTTAATAGATGATTACATTTTATTGTTTTATTATTAGAGATATAGCACATAAATGATATTTTCTAATAATATATTTAGATCAATGAAAGTTTTTAAATAGCATTAAGGTTTTTTAATTAATGCTACAATATTAAAAATAAATTGTTATTAAAAATTTGAACACTATTATTAGATTTTGGTTTGTCAAATGTTCCAATTAAAAAAAAAAAAATACTTTTGTAATATTTCTAGAATTTGTCTAATATCCGTTTAATATCTAAATAGTTCAAAGATTTTATAGTGGATTTTACAGAATACGAAAGGTAATTAAGAAATTTATAATCTTTGGGGTATTAATATATACTAAATTAAATAACCATATATTTATTATGAGCTTTTGTTTTATATACATTAAGGGTATTTGAGATCTGCTGAAAATGGTAATTACAACGGACAATACAGAGTTGGATTATGTTATTGAAATAGATCAAATGCTATCATACTAAATGTATGTATTGGAAGTAAATTCTACAAGATTACAATAGACGGATAGATAGATGGACAGATAAGCTATATATTGTTAAAAGACAGCACTTGGGCTTTTATTTTCATATGATAATAATATTATTCCGAGGTCTTGTAAGTACTACATTATTTTACAAAATTTTTGTACTGTTAATTCATCAAATTTTGACGACCCTGTTCCCTGTTATCTGGCTACTTAGTAGCTTAAAACACTAAATTGAGCTCGATATAAGTATATAGTATCAAGAATTTACTGTAGTTATACAATCCAATAAGTTATAATAGATTTCAAAGATACACTTCATTAAATATCTCGCTTTTCTAAAGAATATAGTTATCAGGGTTAGTGATGGGACTAATGATGCTAAAAATAAGTGATTCTTAATTGTCGTATTCAATAATTTATGAAGAATCAAATTCTTTTTAATAGATCATGGCATGTAACAATCGAATTTTTAGCATTGTAGTCCCAATTACTAATAGTTATTTAATAAATCAATTTAAATGTATTATTTAATAAATTAATTTTATAGAATGTAAATGATTATAGAAATGTGGTATTATATCAATTTTGCATCATTATGATGTAAAAATTTTAATAATTTATGACTTGTGGCTTTTTACATTGAAATTTTTTGACCCTACTTGTAAAACAAATAAATATTCAATAAATTTTTTAATGTTCAAAAACTTATACGTGAATTATCATTATAAAATTAATTAGCCCGATTGCTAAGCTGAAAATTGGCTTTAGCCAATTTCATTATTGGCCGGGATTACTATTGCTAGATGGGTTAGAAAAGACGTGCAATAAATTTTTCTTATTATTTGCACTAATCCTTCGACTAATAAATTCCTTAGGGGTATTATTAATTAAATAATAGAGCTGCCGATTTTCAAAGGACATGATGTCGTAGACAACAAAATTTTTTTTATTCCCTCCTCCCATAGTGGTGCCTCCGAAAAATAGCTGAATCTAATAATAATTTATCAAAAG